TTTGTTTCCAAGTTCTGTTACTATGAATAAAGCTGCTAGGCACATTTGCTTGCAGGAAGGGAATTACTAGGTCGTATATTAAGGTTGTCTCATTTTGTAAGAAACTTATCAGGCTGTTTTTCATTTCATGCCTGCACCAGCAATAAATACAAGTTCCAGTTATGCCAATCCCGACACCTGGTATTTTTGGGTTATTTATATATTGCCATTTTGGTGTTCAAGTGGTATCTTTTTTTTTTTTTTTTTTTTTGGTAGTGGAACTGGGGATTGAACACAGGGGCTCACACATGAAAGGCAAGCATTCTACTACTAAGCTACAACTCCAGCGGCCCCACCGTTTGGTCTTAATTGCACCTCTCTGATTAATAAGCACTCTGAATTTTCTAAGCTAATTATTCTAAATCCTAACTTTTATCTCCATTGGATAGAATCAAAGTACAGTTGTCTCTTGGTATCAGTGAGGGATTAATACCAGGACCTCCCATAGATACGAAATCCCACAGAAGCTCAAGTCCTTTACATAAAACAGCATTGTGCTTGCTATGTATAACCTATGCACATCTTGCTGTATAGTTCAAAATATGTCAACTTATACCTACAATGTAAATATTATGTAAATACACTGTATGGATGAGGGGACAGACTGTTCATGTTCAGTACCAACACAGCCTGAGTACATTTTTGATCCACAGCTGGTGGAATACATGGACACAGAACCCAAGGCAGAGAGGACCTGCTGTGTATTTCACCATAGTGTAGTAATAGTAACATCCTATTATAACAGTATTATATTGCTATTGTGTGCTGTTAATATTACTTTAGGTAAGCTTTTCATTGTTTGTAGTATGGGGGGTTGGACCCAGGTATACTCTACCCTGAACTACATCCCCAGACCTTTTCTGTTTTTTGAGAAAGGGTCACCGTAAATTGCCTAGGCTGGCCTCTAACTTGCAATCCTCCTTCCTCAGTCTCCTGAATTGCTGGATTACTAGGCATGTGCCATGCCAGTCTAGAAGAAATATTTTTGGTGTGTTTTAGTACCTATTTAAATCTGCACCATATATGTGTGAGGCACTTTTTAGATGCTTTACATCCAATTTAATCTTTTTTTCCCCAAATTTAATCCTTATAACTACCTATGAGTTAGGCTTTAGTATTCTAGTTTACTAATGGAAAGCTAAATAGCTTTTCAAGTTTTTCTTAGCTTTCGCTGGCATTCCAAATGTTTCAGTCCATTATGAAATTTAAAGTAAACATGGGTTTAAAAAAAACACCACCCTGGTTCCTGAGCCTTCTGGGGTTTTCACTCATGTAAGAAATCTGCTAGACTAAAGCAAGAGTCCTTGCAGCTTTCATTGATCCAAAGCTGGTGAAGGAGCAAGTCAATCAAGCCGGTATAGATCCCTGGGTCCTGTGAGTATACAAACTTTGCTACATGGGGTTGTCAGAGGGTCTGGATTTGGGATTTCAAGTGGTAAGATGAGCTCTTTTAGCCACACATGAAAACTATCAATGTTGCCAAGTCCCAAAGTAGATGGTGTATTAGAACAGTAGTCAGAAGGGAATCTTTAAGGGCAAATCAAGAGGAAGCAAGGAGGGGCACTCCCTGCTGCCCTTGGGGATGGTCTTTCTTGAATAATTAATTCAACTGAGGGAGGTAGGTAGGAAGGTCCCTGTGCTCAGACATCGGCCCCCACCACTATTGGAGTGCCCCAGAGGCCATCAGGCATGTCCTCTCATTACTGTAATGGGAAGGCCAAATATCCTGACATCATGAGAATGTACCTACATTGACAACTGTCCTTTGGTATAGCTGCTAGGTCTGTGCACCAGTCCTTTGGTTCCTGCTCCAGTCAAGCTCCCTATCTTCTGTTCCCTGTGGATGCCTGGTGTTCCTCCTTTCCAGACACCAGACACCCTCTTTTCCCTTGCACTTTTCTTAGGATAATCAAGTCAATTTACATCTCTACTTTTTTTTTGTTTGTTTGTACCATGGATTGAACCCAGGAGTGCTCAACCACTGAGCCACATCCCCAGCTGTGGGGATAAAATTTTTTGTTCTGAGACAGGGTCTTGCTAAGTTGCTTAACTTGGCAAGTTGCTAAATTGCTGCAGCTGGCTTTGAACTTGTGATCCTCCTGCCTTAGCCTCCCAAGCATCTAGGATTATAAGTGTGTGCCTGTGCCCAGTGCACATCTGTATTTCCAATGCTTAATGTGCTCCCTTTCCCAGGAAATGTGTACCCTGTGAAATATTTAAGCAAAGATACAAATCTCTAATAAAGCAATAATGTATTAGTAGAAGAAATAACAAAGATTGTGTTTCTTGTTGCACTGAGGTAAATGGGGGGTKATAAGTTATCGAGACCCTGTTCTGGCCTCTGCACTTCTATTTTTGTAGTTCTGGAGATTGAACCCAGGGCCTCACACAAACTAGGGGAGGATGCTTTTGGACTGCTAAAATATCTGTAGCCACTCTGCTTCCTTCAATGAAAAAGTTTTAAATTTCTTGCCAAGAACAGGGCTTGGTAAGCAAAAAGAAGGAGCGATCCCTCTACCTGCTTTAATGTTTGGCTTGTTTTCACAACCATGCAATGTAGGTACCATAATCATATTATAAAAAAAACAAAACTTTGAAATATTAGATGGTATGCCCAAGGTCAAAATAAGTTGCAGAACTGGGACTCAGGGCCTAGGGCAGCTTATGAGGTCCATGCTACTTACCTTATTAGTGTTCAATCTAAGGAATCTAGTTTCTAATCAACCCTGAGTGGACTTGAAGCAAAAAGGAATAGTGACCACCCTCTCCACCCCCATCCTAAATCCTTACTCCAGTGCTCCAGAAATACCCTGTATTTTATTCCCTGCCTCCAAAGCACACACTCACCTACTTCCACACAGAGACTGGGTAAGTTATCAACTTGGGAAACCAGTTGATATATTCTGACAAACATTTATTCTATTATACTCCCAAATTCAAATTTCCAAAAAGAGAACTACTTCTCAAAAACTTCCTTATTTAGTTGAATACTATATATTCAGGGTTAAACTAGGGGTACTGATTGCATAATAAGCAAGACTTAACTTTCTCTCAAAAGCAAGCCCCATTCCTTTCTCCCACCCAGCAAAACATACCTATCAGAAAATTAAATGTAATGAAAATTAAAAACAGAATGTATAAAAGTGTTTTAAACCACTAAGAGCATTTTATCTTCATCACTCATTTCCTAAGTTCTTTCCTCCTCCCCCAATATCCATCATACTGCAATGTTGGTCCCCTCTCCAGTTATGGGGATGGAAATGGGTTGGTTGTGTTATAAAGGGGCTCTCAGAGAACAGGCCAAAGAATTGAAGTTGGTTTCTAAGGAGTCAACCAGCTCAACCTAGGCCTCTATACCTAAGCTCTTGCACCAGAGAACTGGCAGGAACAAAGCTGTTAAACAGGGGCTAGTTTTCTCTTAGGAGGGCTGCTTAGGCCCTATGTCAATCTGCACTAGAATACTGCACCCAGGGAGGACCAGAGAGAGTTAGCTTTGATTGTAAAACAAATTCACCAGGACTGCCAAGGACCTCTCTCACCGAAGCCTGACTTTGAAACCCTTATTTGTTGAGTGGCAAGTGCTGCCCAGGACATTGCCACCAAACTTTTTCACAACTCTCAACACAGCCTTGGGACTGACCAGCACATCTACCTACTCTGTGGCCTTGAGCCCAATCAGGCCTTTCAGTGATTTTTCTTGGGCCCCATCCCAACTCACCACAAACTCCGGGAGCCAAGAAACATGGGTATCTCTCCCTTTTTCAAAGCTCAGAGAGGAGGGCAACTAAAGAACAGGGTGAAGTTGAGAAACTGCTGAGCTTCTGCCTGATGTGTAAAAGGCAAACCTTATATGGATTAGAGACATGGGAAAAACTGGCTCTGTGTATGTACTATGGCTGCTAGAAAAACTAAATAAAGGGATTGCAGGAGCAGGGGAAGAGGTGAGCAACCACTGGGAAGTGCTGGGTAAGAGAGGACCCTAGTTCAAATGCTAACAACTTTTCTGATCCACTCCCCCCACCCCCACCCCGCCCCCGTGTGCTTCCCCCGGGCTCCACATTCTACAGAGGCTCAGGTACCTGCATATTGAGGACTGTGTGTGTAGTTCAAGGGCTCAATATGTTAATACTCACTGTTCACCAAGTCCTGGGGAGGGAGGTGGACTCAGTGGAATATGAGCTTAGTCAGAGGTCTGACTAGAAGCCCACCCTATAGTAGTGACTGCCCTGAAACCTACCTGCCAAGGTATCAGAACCTGCTTGCTGTAAAGAGGAACACAAGCCTTTCTTCCCCTCCTTGGGGGTATTTCCTTTGACATGTGAACTTAGATAATAGCAACCGGGGTCACCCAAGCTCCTTCACTGGTGCCACAGGAAAGCCACAAAGTTCACAGAACCTCCCACAGGATGCCAAGAGCTGAACGTCCATGAGAGAAGTCTACAAGTTTGGACAAGGAGCATGTGAGGTCAGGACAGCAGCACCCTGGTCTCCTGGCAGGGTGGGTATGTGAAAGGAGCATTGGTGGAGAAGCTCTCAAGACCAGGATGTCAGGAAATAGATTCAGCATGTCACAGCCCTCCTGACTGTCTACTGAGGAAGTCTGAAGGTTTCTGAAAGTGGCTCCTCAGAAGAGTGGGTAGGGAGTGAGGGAGGGCAGACCTGAGAAAATAAGGACATATAGAAGAACCCCTGGATCATAAAACAAAGGATTTCTGGCCCAATTATGTTTAGCACATTTTCTTTTTCTTTTTTTTGGCAGTACTGGTGATTGAACCCAGGTGCTTTATCACAAAGCTACCTCCCAGCCCTTTCTATTCTTTGAGATAGGGTGACTAAGTTGCCCAGGCTGTCCTCAAACTTGAGATTATCCTGCCTCAGCCTCCTAAGTAGCTGGGACTACAGGTGCATTTTTTTCTCCACTTGAAGAACAAGGCCACAAACAAACCACACATGGCTCTCTGAAGACAGAAACCAAACCCTGTTTTATAAGGCTGCTTGGCTGTCACCCACTTCTCTACAGAGATAGGAGGTGCCAGTCAGGCAGACAGGTGACAGAGGGTGAACCTTCCTCACCTTTTCCCCATCACCACCACCCCGTCAGCCCTCCAGATGCCCATCTCTGCAATACAACCACTTCAAAAAATACTCTGATGAGGGGCAATGTGGAGGGGTAGCAGGGGTAAGGCTGGTCAGCAGGATGGTTCCCATGAGGTAGCTGACACGGGTGCTCCTGGGCAGTGGCTGTGAAGGCCAGTCATGGGCTCACAGCAGGCAGGAGGGAGTCACTGATTGACTGGGAAGTGGAGGAAACAGAAAGTCTGGAAGTCCGCCCAGAGTACTTGATCACAGGTAACTTCTGGGAAGGGCCGGGCTCTGTGCTGGTGATCTCACTCTCCTTTAAGCAGATGGGTTTCCTGGGGAAAGGGGGAAGGCCAACTTGAGTCTTCTTGGGCTTGGGTATGGTCTCGTCTTCAGATGAAAATAGGTTTCCCTTGGAGGAGCTGTTCTTTCTGAAGGAAACAGGTGTGGAAAGATGGCTGAGACACTGTGCAGCAGAGACTTACTTTTGAATTGCCTTCCACATATGGCCCAGGCACTCACAACATTATGTACTATAGATCATTAATTACACGGATATATTAATAACCATAAAATATATTTTATTTACTTGAAGGCTTGAGAGCTCAAGTGCAAGTGTGAATGTGAGTGAGTGGAGCAGAGCCAAGTACTTTAATTCTGTGCTCCAACTCACTTTTGCTGGGCATCCCAAGAGCCACCAGGAACCGGATATTGTGGCTACATATACGACATTCCTATCAACCCCCAGATAGAGAATGCTCAGTCTAGGAAAAGAGGAAGAAAGAAAGCTCCCCAAACTCTGTTAGCCCTTCCTTTGCTGAAGCCACACTCACCCCAGCTTGCCAGGCTCCGGTCTGTAGAAGGCACTGAGCACTCCATCACCCTTTGGGGCAGTCACAAGTGATGTCGGCAGAGACCACTAAGAACAAAGGAAGCAACAGGCAAAAAGGGTGTCAGGCAGAGGTCAGGCAGGAGTGTCGGGGGCCAAAGACTCTTTCTGCAGCTCTCCCATTCCCTGACCCTGAGTCCATGGGGTAAAAGTTTTGGCTCTCTATTTAGTGAGAAAAAAAAACTGAGGCCTGCAGAGCACTTTTTTGATCCTTGAAAGAAAGGAGTCCAGACAATCCTAAAGCCAATCATATTTTTTCAAAGGTAAGGGTCATGAGATACAGAAGCAGGGCCTAGGGGTAGGGTACATATAGCCCAACCTATGCTATACTTTCTTTTTTGATGGTATCAGGAAGTAAACAGGCACTCAAACACTGAGCAACATCCCAGCCCTTTTTATTTTTTATTTTAAGACATGGCCTCACTAAGTTGCTGAGGCTGGTCTCAAAGTTGAACTCCTTCTGCCAGCCTCTCAAGTTTCTGAGCTTACAGGCATGTGCCACCACAGCCAGCCCATGCAGTACTTTTAATGCAGAAGAGGGTGGGCCCTGAAAAAGAGCTGTTTTCCCACCCTGGCATAACTCACCAGTGGAACAGAATCAGAGATGACCCCTGTGTGGAACCCTTTGTAGCACCAACTCCGAAGCAGATCTACTCCTAGGGCAAGATGAATGGGGTTTGGAACTTAGTAGGGAGGAACCAATTGGCCCATTTTTTTCCAGAAAAGTCCATTTCTTGGGTTAATAAGATCTAATCTCTCACTAAATGTAGCCTCCTGTGGGCAGGAAGGGCACATCACCTTTGAGCTTGTTGCCATGGTACTTCTGCTCCCACTGGGTGGTGAGAATGTTGAAATATCGTGGCTGCTCAAAAAAGCGGAGATAGCGAGAAGAGATCCGAGAAGGAAAAATTCGTTCAAATTGACCACGACGAGAAAACTCATCCTCCATCTCAACTAGAATCCGAACATCATCTGGTGTCAGGACATCCAGCACGGATGCATAGAAGTCCTATGGTCCAAGGAACAGGGAAGAAGAGGGTGTGGCAGACAGTGTGAGCCAGAGGCAGAGAATCAAGAATCTGGAGACAAGAAACACAGTCCTGGGGTCCAGGTGTTCCAGAACCCTCAAAGGACCACTAGCTTTGCCTGATGAGCCAGCTCCGTACCTCATTTGTTTCTAAGACCACTCAACTTAGCTAATGGAGGAAAATGCTCTTGACTGGGATTGGAGGAGGTGCTGGGGCTCTGAGATTAATTGGTCTGTTAGATGGAGTTGCAATCAGGGTCCAATAACCAGGACTTGGCACCAGCATTGTGCCTGCTACTCTGTCATCTGGCTCCCATATCTGCTCTGAGAAGACCAAGCCTCCCAGGCTCTTGCTGTACTCCCCAGAGAAAGAAACCATGTGAGTGAAGGTCTACAGCTCTGACAAGTGAGCCAAGAGCACTGGCTCTTAAAAATGTGGCAGAGACTATCAGCTCTCCCCCAGAATAAGCAATGTGCCAACATACCTCTACACGTCACAGGATCCCAGACCTCGGTTAAGAACCCTTGCTTTAGAGAGAAGGATAGCTGGTTTCCTAAATGTTTGGTCAAAGGAGCTTTCTGCTGAGACAGGGGAAAACCAATCTCCTACCTGGTCAGGAATTTTCTGGGTCAAATAATAGGCTTTCTTCATCTTCTGTGCTGTAAAATGCTCTGGTGCCATTCGACATTTGTCCCTGGGAGAGCTGGGCAGGCTAAGACAGGGGATAGACAGAAAGCAAAGGAAGAGTCAGCAGCATCCCTCCTGAGGAATTCAGAGAGGTCCAGCCCAGGAAGACACACTTCCTAGGAGAAGACAAAGATGTGTGTCACTTGAGTGGATCACACTAAAATGCAATCCACTCAGGCAGCCTGTCTGAAAGTCATCCAGAACCATGTACCATGGAAGAACTGAAAGAGGCACAAGATATCCTCTCCTGAATTTAAGAAAATAAATAAAAAAGGAGTAAGCCTGATTGCTGTACACTTTGGCTTAGTTTAATTTAGTGAAAACTTACCACACACCTACTGGCTGTATGATCCTGGGCAAATAACTAACCCCCCCGCCCTGTTTCATCATCCATGTTACTATGATCACCGTTGAGAAAGATACAATGATGACTGAAAAGCAGTCCTGCCTCCAAGGAGCTTACAGTATGGCAACTGGAACAAGTTAAATGACAAATAACCACAGGACAGAGCCAAGGATAAGTCAACAAGGTATAGAGTAGAGAAAGCAAATTTTCTAACCAGGCAAATCAGGATTTTATTTCTATTCGCTACAACCGTCTAGCTGAATGACCCTGGATGGGTTGCTTAATCCTAGGGATCTTCAATTTCTTCTTCTGTAAACTGTGATACTGATAGTAACCTTTAGGGTTGTGAGAACGTTAAAGGTGTTTCCTTACACAGCAGAGGCATTTAATAAACATAAGAGTAGCCCAGTGCTTTGAGGGTATAGAGGAAAAAGCCCACACTAAGCTGGCTTCATGAAGATGTTGTCTGCAGCGAGGCTCTGGTGGGTGGGGGTCTGGCTAAGGAGATTTCAGAAGGAAGATACCCCATGAGCGGAGGAAAGACATCAAGGGGAACAGCAAGAAGCAATGAACTTTTCAGAGAACGAGATTGGTCTAACTGGTCCTTAAGGATCCTCCCAACCTTGAGCTTCTGTGAGTGATCTTGTCTGTCAGAGCACAGGAGCCAGGAAGAGGAGCAGAGAGAAATGCACCCAGGAAAAGGAGGCAGGGGCCTCGAATGTCCAGATAAGGAGTTAACTTGGTTCCCAGGCCGTGTGGAGATTCCTGAGCAGGAGAGCAAAATAACCAAACTTACTTTTAGGGGTACTAATGGCAGGGATGTGCAGATGGATAGGAGGGGCAGACTGAGCCGCAAGGGATACAAAGCAAAAGCAAAAGAAAGGATCCAGAATCCGTTCCTTCCCAGAATCACAATGAGCTATTCATGCAGCCAGCTAAGCCTCAGGGAAATAAGGAGGCTGACCTGGTGCTGGAGCCACTGGAGCTGCTGGGGCTGCTGGAGTTGGAAATATCCTCTGCATTGGGCAGAACAAAACCCGCCAGATTCAGAAGGTCTCGGATCATCTGGCCTTTGATGTTGATGTCCAGCTGAGAGTTGGAGTGGAGGCTTTGGGAAAAGATGCTCACTGTGGTCAAAGCAGCACTACAAATAGTTTCTGATTCTATGTCCAAGTCAGGACTAGCCCCATTTGGCTTTCCTGAGACAAAGCTCAAACATCATCACAAGTCTCTTGTACCAAGACAGTGAATAATTTACCCAGATGTTAAACCTGCCCATGACCTTAGTTTGCTAGAGGAAAACAAATAGTAGGGATTAACTTGAAAAGAAAAACTTCTTTTTTTAATTTCTTACATACATGACAATAGTGGAATGCATTCCAATCATAATTATCCATTTAAAACACCATTTTTCGTAATTCTGTATGTAAAGTATGTTCACGCAAAACTATGCCATTATACATGAGCTCTTATTATTTTTTTGCATTACAATTCTTTTTTTTTCTTTTCTTTTTTTTTTAAGAGAGAGAGAGAGATTTTTTTAATATTTATTTTTTAGTTTTCGGCGGACACAACATCTTTGTTTGTATGTGGTGCTGAGGATCGAACCCGGGCAGCACACATGCCTGGCGAGTGCGCTACCACTTGAGCTACATCCCCAGCCCTACAATTCTTAATTCACCTTTATACCACAATTTATCATATCTCTGATGAAAAGAACAACTTTTAAAAACCCTCTACATTCTTGAAGAACCTTGAGATAATGGCAAAGAGTAAGTGAACGAGCAAACACAAACCATGAAGGTTAAACACAAATTCTAGGGAAGGAACTATGAACTATCTTCCCCAAACTGACAAGACTATAATGACAAAAGAATTCTTAGGATACGGGATCAATTCTATTGTGAGTATATTGAAAATACACTCTACCTTGGGGAAATATTAACTTCCAGGACCCAGGGCTTGAGGTTCTCATCTAACATGATGTCAAAACCGAAGAGTTCGTGGCAGCTGTAAGGATGTCGCACATATAGCTTGAGCAGGTTGGTCACATAGGGCTCTGATCTGGACACAGGAATAAAGAAGTATTCAGTCCAAAAGCCAAATGCCAAATGATTTCTCTGATTTAAGGATGCTGATCCATAATATGCTGGGGGGTGGGGATTAAATGAACTCTAGATAGGGCAAAGGGGAAAAGGGGAGGGAGGGGTAGGGAGGGAGCATAAAAGTAGGAAAAACAATGGAATGTGATGGTCATCATTATCCTAAGTACATGTATGAAGACATGAAGGATGTGACCCTACTTTGTGTATAACCAGAGATATGAAAAATTGTGTAATATAAATTGTAATGCAATCCTGTTGTCATATATAACAAATTAAAATTTTAAAAAAAGGAATAAAAAGCACCCTCCACCCAAAAGAAAGTCAAGTATTCAGTCCAGCTCCTCCCAAAGGTCCACACCCAGAGCTGTCCTGTCAATGGAGTGGCCCAGAGTTAGGCAGACAGAAGCCACCCAGGAAAAGTGGCTCTTAAGAGATTTGTGTGATTGGGGTCAGCTCCTGGGGTACACAGTTCAGCAAATGAGCAAAATTTAACTTTATCTAATCCTTACCATTCCCTGTCCTCAGAACAGAACCACAGCATGGTCAAAGCCCAGAGGATAGCAGCATTAGGCCAATAAGAAATCAGGGGAGCTCCCTAGCAGCAGGCTCCACAGAGTAGCAATATAACTCACGAGATGATGGTTTTGACAACGACATCCTTTATCTTTTCCCAGATGGCATCGCTATTAACTCCCTTCTGGCTCAGATAGTTCCACAAAGCCTTCAGTGCCCTGCAGGGGGAGGAAAAGGAAGTATTTAGTGTTATATTCAAGAAATAAATGACAATGAAATGAGAAAAAACAGGGAATAAAAGACCTAATGGTATTTTTCTTCATCTCTTCCTTTGACATTCAGAATTAAGAGATGAACTTGACAACAAACAGATCAACTCTGAATTTACAAGTGCTTATGTAATCTTCAATTGCTATAATACTCCCCTACCACCAGGCCCCTGGACCTACAAAGCCCCAGGAAGGACCCACACCCTCTAGGACTACATTTGACTGGGACACTCTGCCTTCAGTACCATTTGTGGCCCTGGCAGGCTGTTTCGTCTGCATTGGCTTGGTACTCAGTATTCTTTTTATTGACACTATAGTTGGTCAGGTGCATGAACTTGTTCCCAAGGCTCTTCATGGAAGGGGAATACCTGGAGACAAGAAGAAAGGCAGAGATAAGACAGCGAGCAGAGAGTGAACCAAATATTCCCAAATCCTGAGGAGGTGAAGGACAAGTTCACAGATCTTTTCAGATCAACAAGGACCAGAGAACTTTAACTGTCAGCAATCATCTCCTTTGTCCCACCTCAGCTGCAAATTCAGCGAAGTAGAGAACCTCATTTCCCATTCCCTCCTGCTTCCCCCACTAAGAAATATCACTAAATCATGTTATTTTCTGTTTGGCATCCTCCAGTTTTCCTCCCTCTGAGGAAAATAAGTCCCCCAAATTGTGAGGCAACACTTCACACTCTAACATACTTGCAACTGGCAAAGCGGACAAGTCCATCTGAAAAGAGGTAAATCCGTAGAGGATCGTAGGAAGTGACATAAACATAGATCCGCAGATCAAACTTGCTGCCACTGATGAGGTAGGGTTTGTGTAGATACCTGTGTAGAGGAAAGGCAGCTCCACATTCAGCCAGTGGGGCTTGATGGGCAGCTGTGTTAGGGCAAAAGCCAGTTCAAGGTCCCAAGATAAAGACACTAAAACAGTTGGCTAAGGAAGGTCTCTGGCAGGGAGGACAAGAGGTCAAGGAGATAGGAAGATGGGGAGAGGAATGTGAGCTACAGGTGGGCTCACCTCTGTACCAGGAGGGGCCTGCGCTTGGGGAGTTGACTCCACTTGTGAATGACCTGGATGCCAATGCCTCGAGCTGATGCTGGCTAGAGAGAAACAGAAGGGAGACAAAATTTGCTCCAGGCACAAAACTATGTTGTTCCCATTCTCAGACCACCATTTGTTACCCACAGTGACCCACTCACTGGCTTCACAATCCACTTTTGGCGGCTGTTGCTCTCCCAGGCTTTGCGCAGGAGCTTGGAATCCTGGGGCAGGATAAAGGACTGGGGGAAGAAACTGAACTCCTTCTTGCCAAAGCGGCTTTGCATTCGAGACAGGTTCCGCCACAGTCGATCCTTCCTTCCAATCTGGAAAGAACCTGGGAAATGGTTTAGCTACAGAAGGGACCAAAAGTGAGAGCAGGGAAAGGTGAAGGTGAGATCACAAAGATGACAAGCCCCACTAGGCCATTCCAACTTCCTTAGCAGCAGTGCATGCTCCTATTCCATATCACTGTCATTGCTTTATGGTTTTCACATATACAACACTGAGCACTCATCAAAAGATATGTGAAACACAATTTTGATTAAGATAGGCATGATATCACCTTGAATGCAAAGAAAAAGTGGTTGAAACTTTTTCCACAACAGCCTATGGAACAAGGACAGGAAAACACCTGGCCTTTAGTAAATCTGGACATAAGGGACTCATTTGGTCCAACATGAGACCAGAAGTCCTCTAGACATACTTAGCTTGGAGCAATGGAGGCGATGTACAATGGTTATTGGGGAAACATTATCACCTGAAAACAAACAATACATCTCAAGATACATTAGAGGAAAAGTATTTTTGAGAGGTGGCAACTGGCCAAGACACTGCAACAGAACTGGAGTTGTGTATGGTCTGCTAGGGTCTCACCCTGTACCCCTCCTGAGCTCCTCTCTATAAACCTTCCTCATATCTCTGCAGTTACCCTCCTCTCTCCATATCCACTCTCACCATTCCCAATACCACCCTCCTCTTGGCCTAGTCCAAAGTCCAGGGAAACAGCTCCTCAGAAAGCACTCCTACCTTCTGATGTTCTCGAATGGATCGGAAACTAGCAGACTTCATGTGGTGACCCCAGCAGCCCAGCCAGTCATCATTTCCTGAAGAGGGCAATTGGGGAGTCAATCCTGCTGGCAGCTCTGTCCCTGAGACAGAGGCCCCAGAAAAACCACTGATCCTGGGCACAGCTCCCTGACTAGGTTTCCAAGAGTTGCCATGGAACTGTCCTACATGAGGCCCTGGGGCTAGGGACAGAACAATGATGTTCTGTCTCCCAACCCTGAACAACAGAGGGCTTAGCTATGCCACCACTATGAGGTTGGCAGCTTCAAGACAGGGTCTCCAGCTGTGCCCAAGGGGAATCCAGAGCTCTCCTCCTACCCAAAGCCCAACTGGTGGGACAAAGAGGACAGGCCCACAGTAAGGCCAGTGACTCACTCTTGCTGACTTTAAAGTGTGACCGTCCAATAGTCTGCTTGACAATGTTGGGAGTCACTGTGCTCATCTTCCACCGGAGCAGCTTCCTTTGCTCCCAAGGGAGTTTCTCCACTGGGGGAAAGGCACAGGGTGGGAGGTGGGGCAGGAGCAAGAAGAGCAGGAGAATTGTTTGGTGAGAAGATATAAAAGACATGATGGTGTCCATCATTTCTTGGGTAGGCAAGTCCCTAATAATTGTTTCAAATCAGGGTTCAAAAGAGCACACTTTGGGGAAAAAGAAGGACTGGGTGGGAATGAGAAGCAAAAAAAAGGATGAGACTGAAAGAGGAAAAGAAACAAGGTTAGAGGGTAGGTGTTAAGTCTAAGAATATGAAGCTGAAAAGGAACAGCTAAAGGACAGGCAAGAAAATATCCCCACCCTGGACCTATAACCAGCACAGTGAGATCCGAGCACAGTGTGGTAACCACTGTGACAGCCATTCCAGAAGCCCCTTCCCACCTTTATCATCACCTCCTGGGGCTCTCCTGGACTTTGTCACTTGGCCATATTTACCTCTTTCATCTCGAGTGCCAAAATAGATGGTAGGGGGCACATTAGGGAAGAGACTGTAGATAAGGGCTGGTCGGACAACTTTCTCATGAATGGAAGGTTTGGTAAGAAGCTCCGCACAGTTCCTAAGACAAAAAACAAACATGTGGCAAGTAAGGAAAAGCAACAGCCCCGAGGTGTCATAGTATTAAAGTATCTTTTTTTTTTTTTTAAAGAAAGAGAGAGAGATAGGGAGAGAGAGAGAGAGAGAGAGAGTGAG